TGGTCGTTGTTGTGTGTGTGTGTGTGTGTGTGTGTGTGTGTCCAAGCTTAGCATGCATGGCGTTTTAATAGCCTTTCCCCTTGCAAACCCTGAGCCTCTGCAGGAGGGTTAGAGCCTCTCACCGGCTTTTCTAGGAAAGCGTGATAACAGGCACATCTGCTCATCGTTCTGCCAGCGAGAGAGGGAGAGAGCAAATATGTTAGCCCACCGCAGTTCTTGGAAGCTGATGCGTTTCGGCTGAATCTGTGCAGGGAGGATGAGCCGCCCTTTGGAATTGCCTGCCGTGGGTTGCTGCATGTCAGGAGCAGCCTGGTGCCTGGTTTATTGTTTCCTCTTTCGGAGCTCACGATTCTGGATTTGCTTCCTGTGGAGCTGCTGAAAGACTTGAATGAGGGGCTGCCTGTGGCCATCATGCTCTCCCTCTCTGAGGGAGGCAGATTGGTTTATTCCTCATCTTATGTCGGCACCCCAGCAGTGCTAAATTCTTCAGGGCAGGGGATGGTTGTTTTGTGGTTTGTACAGCACCAAGCACAATCAGGCTCTGGTTGGGGGGAGGGATAGCTCAGTGGTTTGAGCATTGGCCTGCTAAATCCAGGGTTGTGAGTTCAATCCTTGAAGGGGCCATTTAAGGATCTGTGGCAAAAATCTGTCTGAGGATTGGTTCCCCCTTTGAGCAGGGGGTTGGACTAGATGACCTCCTGAGGTCCCTTCCAACCCTGATATTCTATGATTCTATTATGACTGGAACTTCTGGGTGCAAACATGGCATAAATAATAATGGTACTTAGGAGGAAACCCTGTCCCTCAAGCCTGTGCACTTAGTACCATGGGGAAAGGCAGAGGCTGGATCCAGGAGAGCTGGACTCTGTTCCCAGTTCTGCCACAGACTCCCTGTGTGACCTTGGGCAAATCACTTAAACCCAGGTGCTCCACTCTGCTTTCATGAGGGGAACTGAGTTCCAGCCAGTCTCTTCTGGGAAGAATGGGGAGGGGGGGCTGTGTCCAATGTCCTACTCCCCAGGACCACTTAAGTCCTTCAGCCAGGGCTCCATAGGTGTCTGGTTCCCTGGGTGATGCAGGGAGAGATCTAGGGGATAAACCTGGCATGGTCCCCTGGCTCACCCCAAGGGTTTCCATTTGGAAATCCAAGCGGGAGTGACTTGGCAGCTGGGGAGTAGGGCTGGTGCTGGGGTTTAGTTGGTTTGCCGCCAGTTTGTCGGTTTTTAACTGTGTGATCTCCAAGCTGTGGAGGATTTCAAATAAAATGCAACCCCTCCCCCCCCCCCATATCTTGGAGCCAGGCTGTCAGGCTGCCTGGCGGCATGGGCAGGGGCCCACACAGGGTAGAGCTCATAAATAAGGCCACGGGTTATGCATGCACCACTCGCACAGCAATTGAGATGCCTCTAACACAGAATACAGCCCCCTAGGTACAAAAGAAAGGGAAATTCTGCCCTCCTACTTCCAAAATACAGCCCCACTGAAAGGGACTCTGAGTCAGGACGTCTGGGTCCCCTTCCCGGCTCCACCATTGACATTCTGCAAAGGGGGAGGAGCTCTTCGGGTCACCTTGGCTCATGCAGGATGGATGTGGGGCTGGGGAGGGGGCGGCAGAAGGCTAGTGGCTGAAGAGGGTTGGGAAGTTGTGTTCTAGTCCCACCTCTGCCACTGCCTTGCCGTGCGGCCTTGCACAAGTCGCTAAGGGCGAAGTTTTCGGAGGCGGCGGCTGATTCTGGGTGCCTCGGCCCGCGGGAGCCCGACCTGAGCTGAACTGCCATGACGTCAGTGGGAGTCGATGGGAATTTCAGGTGCTCAAAGCCTCTGGAAGATCGGGCCCGAGGGGCCACCTAAGCAGAGCACCCAAAATCAGGTGCCCGTTCTGAAAGGGTTAGCCTGACCCTCCGTGCCTCAGTTTCCCCATCTGTAAAATGGGGGTGATACAGGCCTCCCTGCCGGGGTGTGGGCGAGCCCAGCGTGCTAATGTTTGCTCAGTGGCCGCGTGCCGTAGAAATCACTAATAGCCGCTGCCTAGGCAGGCGGGCGTAGCCGAGGGCAGAATTTCTTACAGCGTCAGTTGAATGGAGACGGGTTGTCGCGTTGGGTGCGCTGATATCTGCAGCCCCCTCCCTGGCTTCTCCCAGGACCACCCCGCAACCTGGGCCTTTCAGCCCTTTTCAACCCGCTCCCCCAAGCCCAACCAACCCCCTTCTCCCACTGCAGCCGTGGGTTTGCTGTAGCAGGGTTGCTGCCTGGCACCCATTCTCATCGCAGGGTGCTAGCGATTCCCCACCAGGCCAGCTCGGTTATTCCTCACTGGGCACGGGCGGGGCGCTTGTCTGGTCTCCCCAGTGCCCACCTATTTCTTTGCAAAGACCCCCCTGCTTTGCTCTGGCTACGTGCTCTGGGGAGGGCTGGGTTCTCTCCGCCTCATGCTCTCCTTCCTCCTCTTTCCCTCGAAAGCAGCCTGCCTGCTGGCTTTCTGACAATAGGATGCTGAGAGGCTTGTCAGCTGAGCTCCCCCGGCCCCCCCCACGCCGGCTGCAATAGCATTGGCAGCCGCCGCCCCCTCGCCTTTTGCTTTATGGATCCATTTCTCATTTGACCCAGTTAGCGGTGCCATCTGGTGCCTCCGCGCACGCAAAGAGGATTACGCAGCCGCCGGCCGGCAGGAGGGAAGGGAACTGGCGCAAAGAGGCTCGCCCTCCTCCCCTGGCTAAGCCGAGGTGGGGGTTGGGTGCAGCGGGGAGGATCAAGGCTTGGGCTCCCCCAGCCCCGTGCGAGACGGCGAAGATAATCGGCTGGCACGTTTGTTGCATCTCCCCAGCGCAGTGCAGAGGGCTACCCAAGCTCTGCCAGGCCAGCTGTATAGAAACAATCCTATGCACTTCCCACCCGGGTTCATTACCTAAGCTCGACCCCTACCCTGGAAGCTGGGGGAGTATCAGTCCCATTTTGTTTTACAGGGGGAAACTGAGGCACGAAGCGGTTGGTTCGTTTTCAGTGTCCTGCCCCAGATCATGGAGTGAGCCACTGAGCCAGGAAAACAAGCTAGTTCCACCTCCCAGGCCCACTAGCCAACAATTCCTCCCTACGGATAGCTTGATTCACTACTTCAGCACAGCCACTAGTGTGGAAGGCAGCAGCTGTTTGACAGAGCATAGCAACCGTGCAGAATAGGACAGGAAGTGGAGACTGCCAGAGCCAGTGAAACGGCGGGGGGATTTTAAGAAGGCAGAAGAGATGTACTGTCAGGACGCTCCGGCTCTTGCAAACAGTGCGGTTGCATTATGAATGTTCCCAGGAGAGCAGGAGCTTGGGTTTATGTCTCCTTTGAAACGTGGCACCTGGTAGCAGCGCGGCGCTCCCTAATGA